TCGATACATGATATCACAACCAAAAGGAAAAGAAGGAATAAAGATAAAAAGATAAGCTATTATGAAAAGATAATATAAAAAAGATGACTATATATAAAAATGATAAAATAAAAAGGCTGCAAATAATGCATATATATATATACAAGGATAAAAAAAACTAGGAAAAAAAAAAGATGAGGGAAAAAGATTATCAAGATCACTCCTTCACGTGAATACCCGCCCTCCACTTAGTTCTCTCCAAAGTCATGCCCTCATCCAACCCCAGAAGAAGCATATCACTTCGAACTCCTCTAACCCACGTCTGTTTGGGTCTTCCTCTCCCTCTCTTCCCTGCCTCTTCTCCACACATCTCAACTCGCCTAACAAGTGCATCACTCGGTCTTCTACGCACATGACCAAACCACCGTAGACGCGACTCCCGCATCTTGTCTTCAATAGGTGCTACTCCCACCCTTTGTCTGATTGTCTCATTCCTCACGCGGTCCTTCCTAGTATGCCCACACATCCAACGCAACATGCGCATCTCTGCCACACTCATCTTTTGAATGTGACATTGTTTCACCGCCCAACACTCTACGCCATACAGTAATGCAGGCCTAATTGCTGTCCTACAAAATTTACCCTTCAGTCTAGTCGGCATACCTCGGTCGCACAGAAATCCTGACGCACTCTTCCACTTCATCCACCCTGTTCTGATTCTATGGGATACGTCTCCATCTAACTCACCGTCCTTCTGAATTATGGAGCCCAAGTAACGGAACATATCGCTGACTGGTATCTCCTTACCATCCAGAGTAATTCCGCTATTACCACTACTTCTACCTCCACCAAACTTGCACTCCATGTACTCTGTCTTGCTCCGACTTAGTTTGAAACCCTTATTCTCCAATGTTTGTCACCATACTTCCAACTTTGCTTTAAGACCTGATTGCGTCTCATCAATCAATACAATATCGTCGGCAAACATCATGCACCACGGTATACCGTCTTGAATTGACTTCGTAAGTTCATCCATGACTATGGCAAATAAGAAAGGACTCAAGGTCGATCCTTAGTGCACTCCGATAGTAATAGGGAACTCTTCAGTCCTCCCTACACCAGTACGAACACTTGTAGTACAATCCTCATACATATCCATGATGATGCTGATATACTTGCGTGATATGTCTTTCCTAGTTAAGGCCCACCAAAGAACTTCTCGAGGTACCCTATCATATGCCTTTTCTAAGTCAATGAACACCAAATGCAGATCCTTATGAGCATCTCTATACTTCTCCATAAGTTGACGAAGAAGGTGAATAACCTCAGTTGTTGAGCGACCAGGCATAAAACCGAATTGATTCTCTGAAATCTTCACAGTCCTTCGAAGTCTTTGCTCAATCACTCGCTCCCAAAGTTTCATGGTGTGACTCATAAGCTTAATCCCTCGATAGTTGGCACATTTTTGTACATCACCTTTATTCTTAAATAAAGGGATAAGAGTACTCTTCCTCCAACTCGTTGGCATCTTGTTGTTTCTCCAAATCATGTTGAAGAAACTTGTTAACCACTCGACGCTTCTCTCTCCCAAACTTCTCCAAGCCTCGATCGGTATGCCATCTGGCCCCATTGCTCTTTTCCGTCCCATCTTCCTCAGAGCTTCTTTAACTTCCGTTGTTTGGATCCTTCTCACAAAATCACGGTTTACCATACAATCTGGTATGGACAAATCACCGATATCTTGCGTTTTGTTCCCGTTGAATAGTGTATCAAAGTATGACCTCCACCTCTCTTTTATCTCTCCGTCGTCCGTCCATTAATATCCTCTGATCAACATCCTTCACACACTTAACTTTTGCAATATCTTGAGTTCTGCGATCACGAAGACGAGCAAGTCTATAAATATCTAGTTCTCCTTCCTTAGAGTCCAACTTTTCATACAACTCCTTGTTCACTTTCCCCCGTGCTTCCCTTACGGCTTTCTTTGCTTGTCTTTTAGCCTCCCTGTATGCTTCTATGTTCTCATCACTCCAATTTGTCCCCAACTTTTTGTAGCAATCTCTTTTGTTCCTTATGGTTTGTTTCACCTCATCATTCCACCAAGATGTGTCCTTTTTAGGTGGTCGACATCCTTTAGATTCTCCAAGTACCTCCTTTGCCACTTTGTTAATGGTCAACTCCATTGATAACCACACATCATCCACCTGTGTTTCATTATCAATACGCCATACATCTTCACCGACCATTTTGTGTGTAAAGCTTTGTTGAAGATCTCCCTCTAGCCTCCACCACTTTATCTTTGGCTCCACTTGTTGTTTAACTTGTCTTCCATGGTTCTTACCTCGAAAGTCAAGCACAAGCATCCTATGTTGAGTGACAACACTCTCACCTGGAATAACCTTACAATCAGTGTAGCTAGTTCTCCCAGTGGTCCGTACTAAGAAGTAGTCGATTTGGGTACTATTAGCTCCACTTTTATAGGTTACAAGGTGAGAGTCTCTTTTCTTAAACCAAGTGTTCATTATAGCCAACTCATACGTCAAGGCAAAATCCAAAATGTTCTTTCCCGCCTCATTCCTAGTGCAAAAACCATGTCCGCCATGAATATTCTCAAAGCCATCACGACTCGAGCCCACATGCCCGTTGAGGTCACCTCCTATGATCAACTTCTCTCCCCTTGGCACTCGTCGCACCACGTCTTCAAGATCTTCCCAGAACTGTTGATTATAAAAATTCAAAAGGAGAAAATTGTCAATTATGTCCTCGCACTTTAAAAAAAAATCAATTAAATCCCCGAGCTTTGTAAAAACGTTCAATTGAGTCCATTTGCAGGTTCTTACCATGCCATCGGGTCATCCACTGATGTGGTGCACGTGTGGCAGTCCAATCAACAACGACTTTGCTGGTGTGGCACACACGTGGAAGTCCAATCAACCATTTGACAATGACGTGGTGCACATGTGGACCGCAATGTGTGCACCACGTCTGCGGGTGACCTGCTGTCATGACAAGTAACCTGTAAATGGACTCAATTGAAAGTTCCTACAAAGTTCGGGATTTGATTGAGTTTTTCGTGATAGTACGAGGATCAAATTGACATTTTCCCAATTCAAAAGCGAAACAAGTATCAAAGTAGAAATCCATGTACGAATTGGATAACACTCACCACAAATTTACACATTCTTCTTTCGGATGTGCAATCAGTATGTTTGATCCTAGTACCTGCTCTTTCAAAGGATTCCTAGCCTGTTCATCTGTCACCCCCGTACCTTTAGAGACTAAACATTCATCAATGTAGTTTCCCACTACCTCTGTTTGAGATGGGTAATCACACTTCCTCTGTTCGCAGATTAAAATGGGCGGAAATTGTCCGGTGGGAAGCGGACATGGGCGGAGCCCAAACCTGCGGATCAACATCAATAGAGAATACTTCAAAAAATTGTGAAATCTGTGTTTTAGACTCTACGAATTTGGCTAAATCTCTTCAGTCAGTCCCCCCTCAAGCAACGACTCAGGATTTCCCAAAGAATTGTGAGAAATTTAATTTTTTGGAGAAGAAGGTTTTGACTCCATCAAAATTGAATCAAAATTGTTCATATTTGCTGCCACTGATAATGAAATTGAAATTTTTGAGCTGCAAAATTCTGTGCTACGAAGGATCAATTTCAAAACAGACGATGCTCCACAAATCTACAACTCAATTTTACATATCACAGGCCCAAACAATGTTAGTCAGTTATAGAACAAAAAATTTGGGAACATCACAATCTCCACTCAACTCAACAAATCAGGGCCTAATCTCAAGATTTCTAAAGCAAATGGGACCTCCATTGTAGTCCACATGGGCCCACACAACTCCAAGCTCAATGATTTCTTGTTAGTATTCTCTAATATTGCAAAATTATCTTCTGAGCAAGAGGAATTCAGGCTTTGGAAGCACACGCCGGGTGATTTTGAGGAAATCACCATCTCCAAACTGAATTTTAACTATGAAGTACAGAGAGCATTCGGGGAAGTGCCAAATGGGCAGAGACATCTCGCAGGGAGGATTGACATAGGGACAACAGAAAAAATTGCTCATGTCGACAAACCAACGAGTCTGGGGGAAGTTCAAAATTTTAAGCCAACCCATATAACAGATGACTCCACAGAAGGATTGATCATTAGAAGTTAGTCTAAAATGCTCCAAGATGATGAAGACTATTTCGTCTACCCGGTTTACTCAAACTACGATTCATCCCAAAAGCTCGTTACCTGTCTCGAACGATATAAGTCATCACACCCAGATGCAAAGTCCTACCCTCCTTATCTCCAAAGGGCTATCCAATTTCACCTCAAATACAATCGACTACTCTCAACCAATGCAGGCGTGCTTACAACGATTGTTATTTGTTAATTTTTTCTTTGGACCTTCTATTGTATTTTCCTTTATCGAAATCTGTACTTGGATCCTTCCCTTAATAAATTGGAAAGTGTTCCCCGATACTTTCCCCACTTTTAGTGGTATTTCCGAGCCAAAAAAAGTAGTTTCCCACTACCTCTTCTATAGCACCTATCTGTTTTGCCGAGCCATTTCCTCATGTAGATCCTGTCAGTATGAATTAGCCACTCATGACGCAAATGCATTCATCTGCTTCTCATGTCTGCCCGATGTAAGGTCGGAAGTGAATATTAGAGGGACATAAACGATCAAGATGACCTAACACTCAATAGATGAAACAAAAATTTGGATGTTTCTTGTATCAAGTCCCTATCAAGATGAATCAATTTTAACCCTCTTATCTAACTTCATTCTTCTTTCTGAGTGCAACTTAATACTAATTCACCTTATTGTGTACAATCAATCAACCTTCATGCTTCACCTAACAATCAATATTGTGTCTAATATTGTTAAAGGAACATTCTAAATTTTTTGAAGAATGTGGGAAATTATTGAAAAAATTATGGATATACACACTCATTCTATTTTTAATTTTTTAATAAATTAAAAAACTATTCACAGTTTCACACACTTTTTTCTACACCCTTCAAACACAAGTCTGCCGCTGTAAGCACGTCGCATACAAGATTTGCAGAGCGCGGGATACGTCAGTTCTGTATATTCATTGGAGGGATTTTCCCGCATTCCCAGCATCTTAGCAAACTCCACCGTACTACAGACTCGATCTCTACCTCCAACTCTCCAAGTCTACCTGTTTCCATTTCTCTTCCTCTGTAAGTCTGTATCATCTCACTTTTGTCCGCACTCCATGGAAGACGACGAACCAATGCCTTCAGAGAGGGTGACGCGCCGCTCGGTCAGTAGATATTCAAACTTGGCTTTGTGATTGCCTTTTATCGCCTTTCCGTTTGGTGTTTCCTTAGCTATGTTTTTTGCATAGCAGAAGCGGCTTAAGGTTCAGATTAGGGCTAACGACACTCATGAGCCGAGCTTGAACGAGGAAGAAATAGAAGCATCCAATGACGACTTTGAAGAATCCCGACCTCCTGCTAAGCGAAACAAAGCTACTGCAAGCACTTCTGCAGCAACCCCCTTCACCCGACATACGTTAATCGGTAATATATCACTACTGCTTTGCCCTTTAGTTATGCTGTATATGATATGTCTGACTTTTTGAATGCTATTAGTTTGAGCAACTGCCCTAAAACTATCACTTCACATTTCGCCTCTTTAAGGCATATGCCTGGTGTGGAGTTTATTCGCTACTTTTATAACGTATAACTAAAATTGAGGGGAGCCTTGGCAGCTTTCTCGACTATTTGTAGTCTTAGCCTCACCGGACTGTCATTTTGGTCACATTTATAAGAAATAATGTTTCAAATGTTGATCCTGATCTAGTCATTGAGGAGACTATTAGGATCCTCAGACTGCAACTTTCGTTGTATAGTATTTACCATGCTGGCATGTTTTTGGGGTTCACACACAATGTGACAGTTGAAGTAATTTTTTCCTTGGTATTAAGAGGTCTTGAAAGGCAACAGTAGACAAATCCCTGAAGTGGTAAAGAGTTGGGTTGAACATTATGAGAAGGAACCTGAATCTGCAAAAGTTGAACTTCTAATGATGATACTCGAGGTAATAATGGTTTAATACACTTGTCAATGGCTTCAAGGTCTTGCTAACTGATATTCCAGCATTTACTACATCATACATACATAGTTCGCTATGAGTAATATAATATGGGAAAATTTCCGAAATAGGAGTAAAACTGTTTTGGAATTCCAAAATAGGTCTGTTATGTTTTTATTCCCTAATTAGGAGTAATAACTGATTAACTGACAAGCTTGGTAAATACTTCCGTGTTTAAAGTTCGGTAATGCCAAAACATGGCTGTAATTACTCCTATATAGGGAATAAAAACATGACAATTCTATTTTGGAATTCACAAATGTTTTTACTCATATTTAGGTCAGTTTCTTTACTAATATGGATTTGTTATTACAGGCATGTGGTGCCAAGTATCATATCGACAAGGAGTCCTTGGATCAGACTAATGTTGATGATGTAGTTGTTGCGCTTGTTAACATGGCTAAGAGAGTATGCTCAACAAGCTCTATGGTTCAATAAACTTTGATTTCGATATATATAAAATTATAAATATGAAATAGCCTTTAGCTATTCTTAGCTTCACTTCTATTTTTATGAGGGCATTTTTGTAATTATGAAATGTTTGAGCTGTCTGCTAAGGGTTTATGCAGTTTTATTTAACCGTGAGATCAGGGTGAAGTGGAAGATTACCAAAGCTTGAAAAAAAAGGAGTTTAAGAATTTAAAAGATAACCTCGCCTCCTTCTGGGATAATTTTGTTTGTGAGTGTCAAAATGGACCACTTTTTGACGGTGACTTGTTTGACTGGTGCACTGACTACATAATTGCATTGTCATGGTAAGTATTCGATAGTGGTAACTTTTGGTATAACTATTTTACTGACTGATGTGATTTTGCATATGTTTTTTATTGCTATACATTGCAGCACTCCCCCTAGATTTTATCGACAAATTGCCTCCTTGATGGGGCTACAGCTTGTCACGTCCTTCATAAATGTTGCCAAAATGCTTGGTTCACAGCGAGAAACTACTCAGAGACAGCTAATTGCAGAAAAAAAGAAAGCAGCTGATGGTCCCCGTGTAAAATCACTAGAAAAGAGGTTAACTGTGAGTCATGAAAAAATCACAGTGATAGAAGAGATGATGCGAAAGATATTTAAGGGGTAGGGGTCTCTAATTGTAAATGTCATGGGCTTAAATTGATAGTTGATTTTCCTGTGCTTTATAAGATAAGTATTTTTTCCCTGTTATTCATGTAGGTTATTTGTGCACCGGTACCGTGACGTTGGGTCTGATATCAGATTGCTATGCATAGAGTCATTGGGTGATTGGATACGGGAATACCCTTCATTGTTTTTGCAGGATTTGTATTTGAAATACCTTGGGTGGACATTGAATGATAAAGTGAGCAGAATATTTCAAAATCAAATTTATTTTACCACTTTTCAAGCCTTCCAGTTTCTAACACTCAAATATCGACAACAATGTACAGAATGAAGGGGTGAGGAAGACGTCTGTCCTTGCGTTGCAGGAACTGTATAAAGTTGATGATAATGTTCCATCCCTTAGCCTTTTTACAGAAAGATTTTACAAAAGGATGATTGAGCTTGCTGATGACAATGATATATCAGTGGCTGTATGCGGCATAGGACTTGTAACCCAACTGCTCCGGTACGTAAGTATGAAATGTGGTCAATCTATTCTCTTCATATCTATGGTATTGTTATGTTATATGTTGCTTTTTGTGGCATTTTACAGACTTCAACTTATTCCTGATGAGGATTTAGGTGCACTATACGACTTATTAATTGACGAGCCACCTGAAATCAGGCGTGCGATTGGAGCTCTTGTGTATGATCATTTGATCGCCCAGTCTAGCCAAGCAGGTTTATTGAGCAAGGAGTTTTTCTATTTTCATCTGTTTTATTAAGCGATGCTAATTTTTTTTCCATTCAGGAAATAGTAAAGAATCTTCCAAGATCCTACTTGGTAGAATGTTACACATATTGAAAGAGTTTTCATCTGACGAAATGTTGATTGCCTATGTTATTGATGCTATCTGGGATTACATGGATGCCATGAAAGTATGTTGCATAAGCTATTACTATTGCATCTTTCCACATCAATTTTGGGGTTTATGCATTGTCTTTCATCATCGTCCTGAATCATGTTAGTTGAAAGAGTTTTAGTCCTGCCTATCCTTTTTGGGAGGGGATCTTTCAGCGCCAACAATAATGCTGTGCTTCTATGTTACTTATTGTGAAAGTATTGTCCTTGAAGGATTGGAAGTGCATCATATCACTGCTTCTTGAGGAAGACACATCGGTTGAGCTTAGTGATGCAGATGCAACTAACCTGATTCGGCTGCTTTCTGCATCTATAAAAAAGGCAGTTGGAGAGAAAATTGTCCCCGCTACTGATAATAAAAAGCAGCATTATAATAAAGCACAAAGAGTGAGGGAGCCTTTTATTGATCCTTTTGTACTTTCTTGGAATACACAACATTTATCCTCTAATAGTCTGATAGGATCATAGGAATCAGGCCCATTAGGCTAATAATAGAAATAAAAAAAAAATAATTAGTGTACTTGTAGTATAAATAGAAGGGGAGGGGAGGAAAAAAGGGTAGGCTGTTAGACAGTTGTATCTGGGACCGGGAAGATTGAGACTTATCATCTCTCTCTTTGGGGCTTCGGCTGGGAACATTTCACCATTAATAAAGCTTTGTGAAGTTTTTTCTTGAATTCTTGTTCTTCTTTTCTGTAAATTTCTGAGTATCTTGAATAGTTCTATCATATTCCTTTGCTCAAAGAATTCCTTTAAGTTTCCTTTTTGTCTTAGGACTTTAGTTGGCTACTTGGCTATTATCAAAATTTACTTATTTAATACCTCTTTCTTTTAATTTGTTTTTCTTCTCTCTGCAATTTTCTTTCCTGATAAAGTTTTATAGGTTTTATTGAATTTGAATATTTTTAAATGGTTTTGTTCTAAAAGCAAGATGTTCTTCCAACATTTGATGCTCTTTAATAAACCTGTGCCTATTAGTGATTGCACTTGTATAATTAATTCTCTAGCAATTTGTTTAGTTAAGCTGGGAGCATCAATTCTGTATCTGTGTTCTACTTTACATTGTTTTAACTTCATTTTTATCTAAGATTTCTTTCTTCTGCAATCACCAGGAAACCATTGAATCCAACAGGCAGGCCATTACACAAATCATGATGAAAAGTTATCCACTGCTACTACGAAAATTTATGGTTGATCAAATAAAATTGCCATATTTACTGCAAATTATTGATCATATGAACTTAGAGCTTTATTCTCTTAAGAGTCAAAATCAGGTTGGTCTGCTAAAATGCTTTACATGGGAATTAATTAAGCATAACTTTCTACAATTTTTAGCTGTTTGTTTTCCCCTTTCAGAATTTCACCTCTACTCTTACACTTCTGAAAGATGCATTCTTCAAGTATGGTGAAAAGGATGTCTTGAGATCTTTTGTTAGAGCCATCAACTACTGTGCTGCTGAGAGTAGAGGAGAGTTACAAGATTTTGCTCATAACCTGTTAAAGGAGATTGAAAATGAGCTTCTTGTCAAACTTAAATCTGCAGTCAAAGAAGTTGCTGTATGTGTTCTTTTTCATGGTTCTACTTTCTTCTTGCAGACACTTCATTATACATGGTACTTGTGGTTTGGCAGGATGGGGATGATGAGTATTTACTACTTGTGAATTTGAAGCGATTGTATGAACTTCAGTTATCACGGGAAGTTTCTATTGAAAGCTTGTATGAAGAATTTGTTCATATTCTTCAACATTCTAGAAACATTGATAATGAGGTGTGTAAAGTGTAGACTGGATTTTAACCGGCTATGTAGTAAATATTTTATCTGTCTATGCCTATTAATTACTTGTGCATGTGCACATTGTACAGGTCATTTGCTTTCTGCTTCTGAACATGCATCTACATATTTGTTGGTGCCTGCACTCTATATTAAACTGTAAAATAGTAACGGAGACTGTGATATCTTCCCTAAAGTTGAAGCGCAATAACTTGTTTACACAACTAGAATACTTTTTACAAACATGTTGTGAAATGTCTGGTGAAGCTAGAAGCAGGAATTTGCTTGCATGTAGGGTAAGTACTCTTTTATTGATATATTCTTGTATCCATCTCACTTTCCCGCAAAAAAAATCTTCACTTCTGGGCTGACATTCAACTGTGCTTTTTACTTTTATTTGTAAGGTTTGCACTATAATCTCTGAACAGTGGTGTCTGTTCAGGAAGGCTAGATTTGCTTCAACACCCCTTGAAACACTGGGATTTCACCCAGACAGGGTCGCTCTTCAAAAGTTCTGGCATGTTTGTGAAAAACAACTACATATATCAGGTTGCTTAGATCCCCTTATCACAAGTATTTGCTATAGGTTATAGTATAACTATAAGTTCCCATTGAAAACAGTTCATGTAAAGCCGACTCTCAGATGAATGCCGTTTTGATATTTCAAGTCTTATTAAGGGTCTGGAATTATTGTATGCATAGTCCCGCCTCCTGAGACCAAGTTGTTGTGTGATGTGAAAATTAATTTTATTTTATCTGCCTCCAAGTAGAGATGTTATCTTGGAGCCTATATTCATGTTTTGGTATGTAGATGAGACCGAAGATGATGAAGCTAATAGAGAGTATGTTGAAGAAACAAATAGAGACACAATCGTCCTTGCTGTTTGCAAGTTGGTTGCGCTTGATGCAGTTCCTAAGGTGAGGCATGTTAATTTTTCCGTGGTTATTAACATATATCTAATAAACTGAAGTAGTGTACATCAAGAATACTGTAAATTGGTAAGGATTGGTTCACGGGTTGTGCTGCTTTGGGATTCTTATCCTGTATGATGTAAATAGAAGTCCGTGTTGTTTTTGCGATAGTCTCATCCTTATCTTTTGCAAACTCTCCTTATATGGTTGCCCCAAAAAGTTTTGGCATTTCCCCTTTAAGGAATTGAATTTGTGGATTATGTTGTTTCTCTATCTTAAGCAAGAAGCCCGTCCACACAAATTTCACATCCTCAATTCTCATGTTGGTCAAATATGATCACAGACTAAATCATCAAATATATTTCACTGTGGATGCAGGAATATCTAGGTGCAGAGATAATATCTCATTTTGCAAGTCATGGTTCTGGTGTATCTGAGGTTATCAAGCATCTAATCACTGCATTAAAGACTAAAGATAAAAAAATTGCAAGAATCTTACTTGAGGCGTTGAAAAAGGTTTGTTGCCTTCAGTATATATGCATACATATACGTTTTTTTCAGTACTCTATTCATACCATTCTTTCCACCACCAGGCCCACATGCGGCATTTGATAGCTCTTTCATCCAGTGAAGCAGCATCTGGCACAACGTTTCAAGAGTGTAAAGATCTTGCTGCTCGACTTTCTGGAATATTTGCTGGTACTGCTCGCAACAAGGATGGATTGGATGTTTTGGATATAGTCAAGGGGGGCATTGATTATGCCTTCTTGGATGTTCCAAAACATTTGTCTTTCTTGGATGGTATAGTGCTGCATTTCATACCTAAGCTTCAGTTGCCTGACATTCTAGACATGTAAGAATTCTCTCCTCTGAAAGTATTCTTCAATGAACTTAATTTGGAATTCAGAAAGAAGTAATGGCTTCTTTTAGCGTAAGTCCTTAGGTAAATGAAATGGCATTAATTTGGATCCATATATTAACTAAGGCCCTAACGCGACAGGAAAACGTGGCTTTTGTGCTGGGTGTTATTTGTTGAAATGTTGAACTATTGTGCTAGATGGTTGCTTTTTTTCCCCACCCTGTTTTGTTTTTCAGTTGGGTAAAGAAGCTTGGAAGTATTTCATTTGGCTGGCTTCAACTTTTTGCTCTTCTCTTGATTTACACAGTTACACCAGGGAGGAAGAAAATGATGGTATTAAAGGCTCTCGAGTGGATTTTAGGGTTTTAGTTGTTTAGGACAAAGCAAAGAGATAGATTGTAAGGTAGAATTGAATATCTTGATTTTTTTTCATACATGCTTGCTGGCTTAGTTTAATTAGTTATTTTAAGGGATTTTGATGAGTATATTACTAAAAAGTAAGTTTTGGACAAAAGAGAGACCTTTATTTGAGTTTCCAAAAATGTGACTAAATCATCACTAAATCTGGAAACTCGTATTTGGATTTTACCTAAATCTGCCCACACCATCTGGCAGTGACTTCATCCCGACAGTGACCAGCCCGTCCAGGGTTACAACCGCCCCAGTGACACAGCCTTCTCTGTCCAGTGACACCGTGGCTCTGCTGCCAACATCGTGACCTCCCCGTCACTGTTGCTGTTGCCCCCGGCAGTTGACACCGCCTACTGCCACCACCTGCCCTGCCCTGCCCTACATTGCCCGCCCCCTGCCACTACCCTCATAATCTGCGCCACCATCCCGCGCTCCCCACCAGCTCGCCACCTTACCGGTCCTATCACTGTCACCCACCAACCCGCCACTTCACTGGTCCTATCATTTTCGCACACCAACCTGTGTTCCAGCCCCATTGGACCCTAGTTGCGTACTGCGATTCCCACATTTGTTCGTCGACGACCACCTACCGTCATTGGACGTCATTTCCGTAGGCATAATCGTCAGATTCGACGTTTATTGCCGATTCTATCCCTAATCGCCGACTAGAGATATAGAAGAAGAAGATTGGTGGGCGGCAACGACGGTGGGGAGACAAGGAGAGGGAAGATGACAGCTGAAGCGGATTTTGCTGAGGAGAAAAGAAGTGCGGTGGAGGCGATTGCAGAGTGTTAGGAATAGTGTAGGAAAACTACACATGTATTTCTTTGTAAAGCAATGTAACTACTTTCTGTTAGGCTTCGGTTATGTTAGCATACAGTTACCTATGAATACAGCTTGTATAAATACTCTGTAATATCTGATTCTCATTAAGATGATTTCATTTCTATCTTCTACCTTGCTCCATTTCTAATATGGTATCAGAGCGCTGCTCGATCTAACCATGACGAACTCTGCATCTGATTCCTCTTCTTCTTCTCAATCATCTTCTCACATTGCTAATCAAACTTCTCCTATCATCTTTCATCATCCTCTACCTGTTAAACTCGATTCAAACAATTTTCTGTTCTGACGCCATCATGTTGAATCAGTGATTCGAGCTCATAAACTTCTCAAATTCATAGAAAATCCTCAGATACCAGATTGTTTTTCAGTTGATGAGAATGGAGCAAAAACAGCTAACGAAGCATACAGCATCTGGGAGCAACAAGACCAAATGCTGTTTTCCTGGCTCTTAGCTTCGCTTTCAGAATCACTTCATGCTCGCGTCATCTGCTGCAAGCATTCACATGAGTTATGGAGTGAAATTCAGAAATTCTTCCGCTCCAGTATCATCGCGTGAGCTCGTCAACTGAAATCGAACTGTATAACACCGGGAAAGGTGATCGTTCTATTTCTGAGTATTTGCTTCGTATTCAGACAATTGTGGATAACCTAACATCTGTCGGTGAGCCTATATCAACCAAGGATCACATCAATGTGATCCTTGAAGGTCTTCCTGAGGATTACGAGTCACTTATATCATCTATCACCTCGCGAAGTATTTTAGATCCTGTTACTATATCTGAACTTGAAGGTCTCTTGTTAGCGAAGGAATTGCGACTGAAGAAACTTCGTGAGTCCTCACAACAAACAATATTTGTTGCCAATGTTGCTCGACTTGAATCTTCTTCTCAGAATACTGAAACTGAAACTCAGGAGTCAGGACACTTAAGAAAATGCTTCAGCTCAAGTTGCTCAGTTTGATACTTCTGCTCAGTTTGATGCTTCTAATGTCAATTCCTCCTACAGAGGTAGAGGTCGTGGAGGTTTCAATAGGGGCAGAGGTGGTCGTTCAGGTGGTAGAAGCTCAGTTACTTAAGTTTGTGGGAAAAATGGTCACAGTGCACTCGTTTGTTGCCACAGATACAATCCAGCTTATACTGTCACTAATCCTTCTCCTATGCAACAACAGTTTTCTCATCCTATGCAACAACCTCCACCTTCATATCCTTACTCAAATCAATTTCACCAGCCTCAATACCAACCAAATCAATACCAACCTCCACCTTCACATCCCTATCCAAATCAATACCAACCATCTCCTCCAAACACAGCGAGATATTCACCCAACCAACCACCTTATCCTTATCCACAGCAAGGTAATCATCCCTCACAACTCAATTCATCCCCCACTGTGCCAACTGCAGCCTGGGCTTGTGCAAACTCTTCTATACTAGGACCACCCCCAAATTTTCAGAACACACCATGTCACAGCTGATCCTCTCAATCTCCAACACAGTGAGCCAATTGCTACCACTGATAAGCTGTTTATGGGCAATGGTCAAGGTTTGGAAATTAAGTCTATTGGTTTTTCATCCTTTCCCTCACCCTATCAATCATCTCTTTCTTTATCTCTCAATAACATCTTACATGTTCCTGCTATAACCAAAAATCTATCAAGTGTCAGTCAATTTGCCAAGGATAACAATGCATTTTTTGAATTTCATCCTCATGAATGTTTTATTAAATCCCAGGTTTCTAAACAGATTCTGGTATGGAATACTTGGTGAAGATGGTCTTTACAAGTTTCAATCCTTTCCAGCTCTTGGGTTTCACAACTCCACTTCAAACTTCAGAATCGTTTATAAAAAAATCTAAGATATGAGAATTTTAATTAATTAGATTGATCGACTGAAAAAATCCAATCAATAACTAGTGGTTTGAAAATAGGGATCATAACATCAATTATAAAAATTTAAAAGTGGGCCGGGTGGGCCCAAATAATACCCTTACACCCTGACCTTCTCCTATTGCGTACGCCTCAGAGCGCCTTATTGCGTATGCAATATTGCGTACGCCTCAGTGCAATATTGCGTACGCCACACTCCCAACGCCATATGCAATGCCTTTTATGCCATAGTCTAGGAATTAGCTAAGGCGTGCCATGAGGCGCAATTGCATTGCGCAATTACAAACAATGGTCTATACAACAACTTGATGTCAACAATGCCTTCCTAAATGGGGACCTTGAGGAAGAGGTTTACATGTCCCAACCCCCTGGTTTTCAAGCTAAGGACACCTCCCTTGTTTGCAGACTCCATAAATCCTTATATGGTCTAAAACAAGCTCCAAGAGCTTGGTTTCACAAGCTCACTTCAGTTCTGTACAATGCTGGGTTCAAACAAAGCAAATGTGATCCTTCTCTTCTTATATACCTAAAGTCTGGAATCCAAATCTACATCCTAATCTATGTTGATGATATTCTGGTCATTGGCAATAACTCCACTGTTATACAACAAATCATTCAAACCTTACATTCTTCTTTCTCTCTCAAACATCTGGGAGACATAGATTTCTTTTTGGGCATTCAAGTCAGAAAACTACCTCATGGTTGCTTGCATCTTTCCCAAACCAAGTACATCAGAGACCTTCTTCACAAAGTTGGAATGTCTGATTCCAAGGGTGTGAAAACACCCATGGTGAGTACCTGTAAGCTCACCAGTGAAGGGAATGATCATCTTCCTGATCCCTCTCATTACAGATCTGTTGTTGGAATCTTACAGTATGCTACCTTAACTAGACCTGAACTCAGCTATGCTGTAAATTTCTAATACAGAGCGACAGCGGCGGCACTCTTGGAACATGAAAGGAGAAGGCCACAGACCTCTCGGACGCACGCAGGAGAGAAGATGAGCTGTTTTAGGGTTTGGGTATTCTAATTATACCAAGGGTATTTATGTCTGTTCACATACAGTTGGTCTTGTTTTTGTCCAAATTAAAAGTCAGTCCTATTTTTGTTCAAAAAGAAGCTGATAGCATTTTGTCATTATTTCTTATGTTAACCAGTGATTCCAGATTTTGGAGACACCTTAAGCTGGCTTTGTTATTTTAAATAAAAGATACCCCAGGTGGCTGGAGTATAGGTAGATGCTATGCCAGCTGCCCTATTCTAATTCCACCTACTGTAATATTTAGATATACCACAAAAAACTTAAAACAAGTCATTATTCACTAAACATGGTACATCATTCTCGAATTGAACCTTGCATGAACATTGAAAAAATAAAACATGAGTTTCATCTAACTTAAACTTGTCTTGAACTTGAAGCTGAAAGTCTGAAGTTGAAACTTGACATTGACTGAACATGAACTTAAACATCAAACTTCAACTTCAACCTTCATACCTATCTTCAAATCAAATTGTCCCTGTACACATTATATTTTTGTTCATCGTACTTTAGTAAATGAGACTAGGAAACAAAGGTAACACATGGATAACACATTATCTAACAGCCAGTGGTCTAAATGTGACAAAAGAAATGGAGGGAAACTCGTTAACATGTAGGGATAAACTCATAAACCATAATAAACAACATTATTAATCATGAGTCAGAAGGTCTGATTTTGTGAAAGCAGCTTTCAGAAGTGGTGAAATATGAACTATTATGATGACCCATAGATGTCTCTAATACTCAGTAGAAATATTGGAGAAATTCTTATTTGACTAGGTAAAAGGTTTAAAATCAATCTGTGCTTATCATAACAGTAATTTCTTTCTTGTAACCATGACTACATACAAATCCTGGAAGATGGGCACTAATTGGTTTCATTGGCAGCTTGAAGGATGTTGAAAGAAGAGCTGCAAATGTGAATACAAATGAAGATCCAAGTGGATGGCGCCCCTATTTAACATTTGTAGAGACTGTCCGAGAGAAATATGCAAAAATTGAATGTTTCCAAGGTACTTTTACTCTTGCTGATTTCCGATGCGCTTTTGTAGTTTAGGTATCTATGGAGTCTGTTTCTTCATCTTTATGCCTTCATTAATAAATAGTTTTGAATCTTTTTCCTCCTGTCACAGCAATTAGTTACTGACATTGGGACTTTTTCTAATGATTGAGCATAATATTCAACAAACCTGAAGTAATTATCCTATTATTGACTTCAATAAGATGTGCTACGTTAATGTTCTCTGGCTGATTTGCATACATATTTTAGTAATTTCATAATTGGACGAAACGATGCATGCCTCATGACATAAGCAATTATATTTGACAGGCAGTAGGGAGTTTCGAATAGAATGTGAGACTCTAGAGACAGGATGATTTGGTATCTAATTTTTTTCTTTTTCATGCAGCTATTTTTATGAGTCAAACAATTACTACTCCCTCCGCCCCCCTATAATTGTCCCATTTTTCCATTTTTGGATGTCCCTTTATTATTGTCCCATACCATATTTGGTAACATTTGTGTGGCTCTAATTCATTCTTACTTTATTTCCACTTTATCAACTCATTACCAACCACATAATTCTACTTTTCTTAAAAACCACACCACACCCTTCCGTACCAATATTAGGGGGACGGAGTGAGTATTAGTGTAGTGAAATGGTTGTGACTTTCCGGGTGTACGCATTTAACACAAGTAAAGCTAAAAAAAGAAAGTCAGATGGAATTCGGTGTCTTGGAGAGTATAGTCTTGGATTGTTGGACTTGAGACATGCTTACCTCAGAGGTTGTCAAGCAGTGCTTATTGGGGCTCACCTTAGTAAGCTAGTGCTTAGTATAGAGTGCATCATAAAAATATTTATGATCCACATGCCTGTTGCATGAGGTGCAAGGTGATGCTACTTTGCATATCTGTTGTTCGATGCACAGTTGTGTCTGTCTAGACGTGAGACTGAATTCCTTTTGTGTATATGGTGAGGCCTGACCGCCTGACTGAGTCACACATTACTGAAAAACAGAAAGTATTAATAAATTCACCCTTTTAAGGTTATATTCTACTCCCAAATCGCAAAACAGCACGTGCAACTAATGTGGCTGCTTCTACTGTGAGCATCTGAACAAAATCACACATTGTCCCTCTACCAGCTCATCCAACTCCTTCCCTAACATCCCCAGCCAACCCAGCCCATTGTCTGGCATCCATCAGCCCTCCAAGCCATTTTCAAATGCTGCAATTCTTTTTAGGTTTATGAACATGTGATAAATTTATAATAAAAGGGCAGTCCAGGGACATTCGCATCCCTGCAACCGAGGAAGGGTCCCACCACAAGGGTGTATAAGGAGCAAGCTTCCCTTGCTATTTTGACAAGAGGCCGCTCCCAAGACTCACCCGTAACCGGTGCACCTCGGCTCCCCTTCTTTTGATAAATTTATATTATCTGTTTTTTATCTGGGCCTCGTGTTCATGATCCACGTTCTGTGCTCCTTTGTGCCTTGGCACTAATGGCCTCTCTGTGCCTTCATGTGCTCTGCGTTCTTAACATCTATGATCATAAATAATTGTTTTCGTCATTGTAATAATAGGCTTAATAACACAATAATTCATTTTACTTTAAAAAAATTAAATCGCATCTTTAGTAGTAAATGTCGAAATGTCATATTTCATATTTGTCCTTGAAGTCCTATGGTGATTTGCAACTGTGGTAACTGGTAGCTGGTGGTGACTATCCTATACTGCAACTGCAAGAAGAGCAAAAACTTTTACCTTTTTTCATATAGAGCATTTTCTTGCTATTATATGACTAATTATATAAAGAGTTCTTTGCTGTGTTATGTGGTTGGTTACGCAGATGAAAAAGAAGGTATGTCTGTGAGACGCCGTGGGCGTCCTCGTAAGAACCTGAACTTGCAGGGAAACAAACTCTTTGACGAGCCTAGCTCTAGTGAAGAGGAGGATTCCATCAGTGGATCTGAGCAGGATGCAGACCAAGAAGAGGAGGAAGAGTCTTTAACACGTTCTACAAGATCAGCATCTAAATTAACATCCTTGAATATCTCCAGAGAGAGTAAAGGGTCACGCTAGCAAATGTTAGGTACTCTAGTAAGTGCACTTCCCCTTGAGGGTGAAAATGATTAGGTACTAGTTTGCTCCTAACTCTATAATAATTAATTGCTTTTGTTTCAATCTTATTTTGTGTTTTGGGTGTGGCTTGTTTCATGAAAGTTCAATTTGTAGTTATCAAAGAGGTTATTTTGACATGCTTGTCAAATATGATTGACCCTATGTACATGTTATAGACGTTGTCATTATGTAGTTGAGCCACCTGCTATTAATCCCACCTATTGCACATTTGCACATATGGTATAGAAGTACGGAGTATAAACTGAACCCATAAAAGTGATGCATTTTGAATGATCTATCCTTGCTGTTAAATCATTGTTTACTCATTTTTGTTATTTTTTGAACCTTTTTTCACTTGTGCAGTCTCTAAATGTATCATCAAATCAAATATCTCTACATTCAGGTTTGGTCCAATCTGAACACTAATCTTGATCTGAATATCTTTTTCAAGGTAGTTCATACGACAAGATCCCGGTTCTGTCCTCTTTTTAATGAGAAACGTCCTGGCAGTTAAGCTATTGCTTGTGAAAGAAAATAATAATATACCAACTCACAATAGTTTCACTTTTTGACATGAGATCGGCTAAGATCACCTTTCATTCGAGGAATCAAAACAGATGCATCTTGACCACATGACTACATGAGCTGATGAGCACATGCAACTTATCATTGCCAGCAAAGCCAACAATGTAAACTCATAATCAGTTCAAATGATACAAAATGCGAGATTATAGTTTGGCGAATCAATTTATCCACTTGTTAGAGACAATTTTTTATTCTGGGATATGAAACTTTACATGGAATAAAGCAAAGTGGCTCACTAAACTGTCTGCGCTTCTTTGGTATGAACTATGAAGTAATAGTCAGTCCATGCAATTTTCGACGTGATTTTCACTTGGGTAATTTGGAAACAGTCTCTTTGTGCTTTTAGTACAGGGGTAAGATTGCGTACATCCGACCTAGGGATGGACCCGGGCCGGTCTGGTTCCGGTTCCGGGCGGGCTTTTTTGCAAATACTTGGGCCCGGAACTGGCCCGGTTCAAGGTCTACTTTTTTTTTTGCTTTCTTGTTATCCCCCGAACCCCCCCCCCCCCCCCACCCCCAAACCTCCCTAAAACACCCAGCCCTACCCTAGGAAAAGAAAAAAAATTGAAAAAACAAAAAAAAATATGACCTGGGCCCGGCCCGAACCGCCCGGGCCGGTTCGCCCAAAACTGGGCCTGAGCCCGGCCTGCCCGACCTGCCCAAACGGGCTAAAAGCCCGGAACCGGCCAACCGGTCCCGGTCCGGTCCGGGCCCGCACAGTAGCGGTTCCGGGCCGGGCCGGCCTGGTTTAGTCCATCCCTAATCTGACCCCCCTTACCCCACCGTAGGTGGGAGCCTTTGCGGCACTGGGGTAATGATGAAAGATGAATGAATGATACGAAACTTTAAATATTTAATTCTCTACCATTGAAAAAATCACTTTTGATCTTTCAGTTATTATCAAATAATTAGTAGGAGAAGCTCGGGTTTGACCCGGGGGTAAAAAAAAATTATAAATACTCCTAATCTTAAACATTTTTCCATATCTATTCTCCAACATCCAATCTCTAATCTCCATTCTCCATCTTCATCTCCATCTATTGTAGAATTATTATATCTACCATTTTTAAGATGGAAAGTCAATATGTCGTTATACGGTATAATTTTGATGAGCAGAAGGACCCGAGGACCGGGATGTGGTATGCAACTTACAAATGGTGCAGGAAAAAGTGTAGCATGGGGGTTTCAGGCGGATACGGGATGACAATGAAGCATATTAAGTCATGTGACAAAGCCAAAGGATCGAGAGGTGCGGGAAGTTTCGATTGATTACAATTTACAAAAAGTATTTCATATTGTATGTTTCTCTTAATTGTCAAATGTAGTTCCTATTTCATTTCAAATAAATGCACCTGAAGTTTGTTTTTAATACTTGTATAAAACTATAAAGTATAAATTATAAAAAAAAATTGGTTTTAACCGGCTCGGCGGGTGGCCCGACCCGTGACCCGGGCGGGTGCCCTGGCCTGAACCGGACCCGTCCAAACTTCGGGCCGGTCCCGGGTCCATGAGTTACACACCGGCCGCTCGGGTCCGACCCGGCCCGAGTCCAAGCCTACACCTAGCAGTCAATCAATGGGAAAAAAACTGGGCCGGAATGGGCCCGACCCGACGGTCCGGTCCACATTTTCCTCAACCCGTAGCCTGCCCCAATTACTCCCGGTTTGGGCCCCCAATCCCGGTCACGATACCAGCTGAATGTGCTGGGTTGGGCTTGCACAGTACTGGATTGAGCTGAGTCCCGGGTCGGGCCGACCCGTCCTAGTCCATCCTTAGGTGGATGGTAGCATTGTGATATGTGAGCAAGGAAAATCAGATTAGAAGCGTCGAATACTTGAAGAGGAGGACAATGTTGGAACTTCGTGCACACGTTACAATGAATTATAAGATATGAAGTGGATATAATGATGCTCATTATTACTCTCTTAATACTCAGTAGTATGGATATGATGCTCACTAAAGGTACATAATGTTCATTTAACGAAAACCGCGATTTTCACTCAATTTATGAAAATGTCTCCGGCTGTACAGTTCTCACTGTATAGCAAGCTGTTCGGGATTGTATGGTATACGCTTCCGCGAGTCAGGAGGTGTGGTGGCAGAACTGAAATCTTATTGTCTTGTTATCTACTTTCATGACAATTTTTATTTTATTTTACCAATAACAGAATAATTTTAATTTTATCTACTCATATATTATTCTTATTTGCTACTTTAAGACTTGGGTGGTTGTGTGTTTTAAATTTCTCGCATGTCTTGCGATAAGTTTTGCTCAATGTTGAATATACTTTTTATGCTTTAGGGAGTCAAAGGGACCTCCGAGTTGCTATGAGCCTAGAAAGGGGTAATGTTTGATTGTGGTTGTCTTCATAATTTCTATTATACTCCGTATCATTGTAGGCGATTTACTTTAAAAAAAATAAGTTGCACATGTTTTTAAAAAGTAATTTCATTTTTATCATTATTAAAATATAAGAAAATGTGAAAACACTAATCCTAATTATTACCGGTCCACTGTTAATAATCTCAACCATCGATTATTGTTGGATGGTCCCAACTATAGGAATCATTTTTCAAAAATAATCCCTAACATTTTACAACCTGGTATAGCAGTTAATTTTAAATGTGCACTATAGTTGATCTTTTTTTATTAATCCCAAGTTCCCAACTATCGACTCTCAATTTTCGGAAGATATAGAAATATTTTGAAAAAAAGATCAAATAAGCCCTCGTACTATTGTATAACAACCACATAAGCCCATGAATTTTAAAAAAGGTCACACAGATACATTTACTCGGTAAAATAAGTCACATGGATCAAATGACCGGCCAGTCACTTGGATTTGCCGGTGATGGGCTTACGTGTCCCATTTCCCCCCGATCTGGTGTTTTTTTCCATATCAGTCGATCTGGTGAGGGGCTTACGTTGTTTCATCAATGACGGAGAAGTATGCGTCCTCCGCAAACGATCTTCACCGTCTGAAATGTCTTCATTTTCATTTACTTCAAATAGAACGAATATTCCGAATCTGCACTACGAACCAAAAAAACTATAAATGTGAATTAATATTTTCTGATATTAATTGGAATTTTAATTTGTGAATTTGGTGAATTTGGTGCATATTAATCCGAAGGTTTCATTGCATATTAATATTTTTGTGAATTTGGTGCTTTAATAGTGCATATTAAACTGGAAATGATTTCCCAGTATCGTTTGTTTATAATTAGACTGGAAATAACTTTTGTGAATTTGGTGCTTTAATAATTTGTTTATTGGGGAAATATTGTAAACGCGATAGTAAATATTTAGACTGAAGTTTGGAGGAGTTGGGAGCATGTTTGTGGTGATTTATGTAGTCCTTTGGTGATATGTATCCCATAAAATTCCTTGTAACAATCATGACTACATTCTAATGTAGTTTGGGCAGCATGTTTTTTTTGTGATTTAAGTAATCCTCTGTTCTTATGTATCCTACTTAGGGGTGGACTCGGGCCAGGCCAACCAGCCCGGAACCGGATCGGCCCGGGAACCGGTTCGTTGGGCGGTTCGGGCCACCCGGCCCGGTGGATTCTCGGTTCGGGCTCGGGCCCTTCAAAAGGTGAACCGGCCCGGCCGGTTCGGGCCCGGGCCAGGCCAATTTCAATTTTTTTTTTGAATTTTTTTTGAGTTTTTGGGTTGGGCTGGTTATTTTGGGCCATTTGAGGTGGTTAGGGTTGGTTTGGGGGTGAGGGGGAGGGGTGGGGGTTAACTAGGAAAAGCCCAAAAAAAAAAAAAAAAATACCCGAGGCCCGGCCCGGCCCGGACCCGGGATTTACCCGGGCCGGTTCCGGGCCTCCCCTTCTTGAACCGAGGCCCGGCCGGGCCCAGGCCCGAACCGGGCCCGAACCGGCCCGAGTCCACTCCTAATCCTACTCCACTATAATACAATACATGTATTGTTTCTTTGGTCATACTTTCATTTAGGGGTGGATTCGGGCCAGTCCGGGTCGGGTCTAGGCCTGAGCGGGCCGGCGGGTCTGAATAGGTTGACCCGGGACCAGCCCGGGTAGCCACCGGGCCGGGCCGGGTCTCGAACTTGTTTATTTTTATTTTTTTGCTTACCTACCTATCCCTGACCCCGTCACCCCCCACCCTCCCGTCACCCCCCAAACCCCTCCTAAACATCAAGCCCAACCCGGGTGGAGCCCAAACAAATGAAAAAAAAAACAAAAAAAAATCAATTTGGCCTGAACCGGGCCTGGCCGGGCCGGGCCTTGTTTTGGGTGACCCGAGCCCGGAAACCCCTCGGGTCGGGCCTACCCGGACCGCTCAATGACCAGGCCACCGGTTCGGGCCGGGCCTGAACAGTGCCGGTCCTGGGCCGGTTCCGGGTCGGGCCACCCGGCCCGAGTCCACCCCTGCTTTCATTGCAACACAAACATAACAATATATCCCCTTGGCAGTCCAGTTTCAGTACCAGGGCAGTCCACTTTGAGTAAAATGGAACAATGTAACTTGTACAGACAACTGAAAACCGGGCAGTCCACTTTGAGTACCTATGTTAGATATAGGACTCAGAAATTCAATTTCATGTTATGGATTTGATGGAAGTTTATACAGCATGTAAACCACACCTTTAAAGTACGAAACTCCTTGCCTAATTGAGTCATACCACCACTATTGGTAGCTGGAAACCTCAACTCAAGCTAACAGCAGAAAAATGTTCAATAT